CTGCCATTACGCAAATGACTGTCATTAGTTGTAATGAGGATACACATGGGATCAGTTTGTGAGTCCAAGCCAAAACAACAAACAATCATCTGTCCAATCGAAGCTTAGGGGCGGGACGATGGTTGGACAATCCCTCTAAGTGTCTCTTTGTATAGCTTACTGCTGCACAATGCACACAGTCAATCAGAAACGTAACTAAATGTACAATCAATACAGTGTCCCTCAGGCTGGCTAGCTCACACTTAACTGACCTTATGTGAAAAGGCTGTCAAACCATGCTCCTGTCCCTCAACTCGGATTGGACAGTCAATCGTTTCTTTCAATTGGAAACAGTGATAACCAACATAAAATGGAAATAAACAAAAGGTGTGTTTGTTTTTATTTGGGCATTCTTTATCTTCCATAGAAGACAGCAAGTTATCTGATAACACTTGCATGTGTTATATAACATTAAATATATTTAATTTGAATTTGCATGACACTCCATGATCATACTACTAACTATAACTAAGTAGTTTGTTGCCTTTGTTCCACTTGCACTACTTGCACAAATTAATCCAATACCATAATATCATACCACTTGATACCACTTGACTTCTGACCTCAGTAGACACTTTCTTTTCAAAATGTATTTTCTAAATCACAAAAGCAATCACTGCTTATGCTTCAGGGTGGGGTTACCTTGTGATTGGCATGTCGCTACCCTGTGATCCTGGGACTGGGTGCTTTTAGTGTTTTAGTGTTTTAAAATTGTAACATTATTGTCACCACATATCTATTTTGGCGTTCAGTTGTACTTTGTTCCAGCCTTTTATCTCCTTTCTGTTTCCAAAAAAACAAGATGGCAATGGGCAAAAGCCAAGATGGCGAAAAGCTGAACTTAACCGTTTAACACTGTAGTCCATATACTAATGGTTGAGGCCATGGTGACTACATCTACTCCTTTATATAGTCTCCGGTTTCTCAATGATATCCACATGACAGAAACTTTTTCCCACAATTATTGTGTGACCGCAACTTTGAAAATGTTTTTGTACCAATTCATTACCCAAAAGGCTGCCAAATGTTGATTTCTGCCGACGCAGCACCAAATGATAAGGAGGGATTAGATAATGTCATGCACAAACAAGTGTGTTTCATCTTTTCTGACTAAGGTACATGTTAGTCGTGCAAGTTTCTAGCACTTCCGGCTCTGAATTACAGGCTGTGAGCAAAACTTTCAAACTTATCGTTGAGATATTTAGCACACTGTCTGTTCGGAAAAACTCCTCGCTCCATTGCTGCAAATCTCGAGGGTTACACCCAATTGAACTCATTGTTTCCCCCTCTGTAGTCATTCATCTTTCATAGCCATATTCAAGGATCATGCTCTTGCTTTTGAATGCTTTGTCTTGTTTACTACATTTGATTTGAAAAGCTTGCTGCAGGCAGCTTTGTTACTAGCTGACATCGCTTGTGTGCTGCGGTGCTTTCATTTGCTCTTTGAAAAACGAGTTTCCAGGACTTGAGGGTTGGTTGCTGAATGGCAACTTTTTTAAATTAAGGAAGCTAAAAATCCTCGGAGTCTTTGTCATCACATTACAATAAGTTTTTGCTTCTTGTCTCCCAAGTTTGACACTCAGAAGCCGACAGAAGCAAAATGTCTGTTACTCAAAAAAATCTCCACTGCAAGGGCTTTGCATTTGATATCAATCTGAATACGACACGTTCAACTCAGTCCGACACTTGCGGTATTATCTGCTTATTTAAATACTTTATTTCCTTTTTCTGCTTGCACAGGTATCCCCAGACTTCTGCTTTTGATCCATGGAGCTTTCATAAACCCAGTTGGACTGAGCCTGTCGAAGCCTTCCATCTGCTGTGGGCCGCCGAGCTGGCATCGACCTGACATCCGTGGCAAAGCAGGAGGAAGAGGAGGTGGCTGCTTTCTCACCTTCATAAGTGTGTGTGTGTGTGTGTGTGCATGTGTGTTTGTGTGTGTATTGCAGAGAGAAGACATGCATATATAGTGATATCTATGAATGCGTCTTCTGTGCCAGCTCTCAAATGTGTGTCTGGGTGATGATATAACAGCTTATTTTGCAGAAAAATGAAAAGCGTTGGACTAAAAGCAGACTTTTTAAACCACAGATAAAAATCTAAAGCTCATGGCCTTTCAACTGGTCTGAAAGACTTTGAGAAGTAAAATTCCGTGAAGTCTTGCATATACATCGTGCACATATGTATTGACAGCAGGAAAATATAAATCTATGATTTGTGAAACCTTTGATTGCGGTTTGAGTGCCCTATCCATATTTATGGGTAGCTGTCAGCACTCCCTGCCTTCAGTACTTTCTGCAGAACTGTAAATCAAATCCTGTCATGTTGGCGCTCTTTGACAGAAAGCTAAGTAAGTGAAAGGCTCTACATTTCATTGAACTGTGCTTCAATGATTGCAGAGAATTATGAATATGAATGCATAGTCAGCGGCTGGCTCTATTAAAGCCACACCAAGTATATCTTTGTCAGGATAATAAAGCTCCACAATGAACTTTTTTTTCCCTCGATGTCAATTTAAGGTTAGTAGTTTATTATCCATAAGAAAATAGGTTTCCACCCAGAACATGTTTTTGAAGAAATCTTTTTTTTTTTCAACTTCTCACACAGTTTTTAATTATGAGCTTCTAAAAAACTCTAAAGAATCTTTATGGTGGTACATTTCCAATTGCAGTACATTTTTAACAAATTGCACTAGTATTTTTCTATTACACTTAAATAAATTGCCTTCTCCAGTTCCACTCTTGTTTTATGGACATGCAAAAGCAATATCTAAAACCCAATAAATACACATCTCTAAAAAATAAACATTGCTTTTTTTTAAAGGAGGATAAAAAGAAAATTAATATACAACATCAATATGAAACTTATTTCTAATTGAATGGACAAATATAGCTTTAAATCATATTTATACACCGAAACAGTGGGTACATATACATATTATATCACACCCACTCACTACTTGAGTTTTCATTTACAAGATTGTTTTAATCGGTATAATTATAAATAATTATGCCAATGTGTTTTACTGGGTGTAACTGATGACTGTATTTTAATTGAAAGTCTAAGAATCTTGGTGGCCTGATAACTGCAATCAATAAACAATGCAATGATCTGTCAGCACTATTATGGAGAAATAAATGCTGGTAAGATTTGTACAACACTTGAGGGGAAGAAGAAGCCAGGAAAGGACATACTAACTAGATGTTGGTGCTACATGCAATACTTTATACTATTGTTAGTATTGTGATATAAGACATTGCCTTGGCAGAATTTGGCGGAGATCCTATGAAAACTCCACCACAATGCAAAGAGTGAAATTGCTGTCATGACTTCCTGGTAGGAAACCATCTCATAAGGTTTGTTTAAAAAAAAGAATCACATTACCAATACTTATCCTAGTCTAACTTATTTGATGGACAGGTTTGGCATCACTAATTAAATTGGATAACAAACACAGACGGTCTCTCTTTTTTATTTAAATAAGATATTCTACTACTTAACCAAATTAGCATTTCATATCAAAATTGCATTTTAATAATGTGAGTTAATGAGCTCTTGAATGCCATTCATAATCAAAATCATGTTATGAGAACATCAATACCATTTAAATATTTGATTTACCTTTCACCTCACACTATTTGTATTTATTAAAGTTGTAACGGCGCTGTAGAATGATAATAATCTATTTAAAATATCACTGCACTGAGTCACTGTTTTTTCTCTGTAAATGGCAACACATCTTTGAATTCCAAATATAGAGCACAATTCATAAACTGAAAGAAAACAGGAATCTGTAACTGAGTAACAAAGCAATTATGAGTTTCCCATACCCACAAAAATGACCAAAGATTTTCTGTCATCACTAAGTTTTATTCCTCTTTCTTACTATAGATCGATTTACAATTAAGATAAATTATTCAGAGCTTTGCTTGAAGCAATAATTGAAGAGCTGGAAATGAGCTGGAAATGATATTGATCTCAGACTTCCACATGAATCCTTATCAATCCCTTCAATTACTCAGCAAATCCTTTCATAGCTGAAAAAAGACTTGCGTCATCATGTGCAAAATATCATTTGGGCTGAGAAGACAGGTGTTATGCAAATTCAAATGTAGAATGAGGTCAAATGAATAAAACATAGCTATCCAATTGTTGTTTTATTTCGGAAAATACACAAAAGGAGTTGTTTTTGCATGCGCTGTTCATTTTTCTTAGAGTTGAACATAGTCCATAGCTGGTGTTCTTTTAGACCAATGAAAGTTCCACATTTAGGTGTTAATATAACTACCCTTTTTTATTTGTGTCTACAATTCTCTGCAAAAATACCAATGCTTCATTGGCATAGTATAACACATGATTTTGGAAAAAAACGGTTTTATGGTGATATCTATATCAAAGTGGTTCCAGGGCCGGTTGGGGCCGATGCCCGGTTGTGATCCAGCTTTATCTGTTTGCACTGCAGTGGTGCTGGCTCTAGGCAGGAGCGTGTCAAGACCCTCTGGGGGCCCCACGCAGAAGAGACCTGCCCCCCCAACATATCCACCACCAATATCATCAATAACTGGAGTGCATTGGGAGCCAACAAATGCTGCTCTGCAACCGAGAACAGTAAGAGGGAAGCGTCACGAGGCTGGGGCGTGATTGACCTGAGCAATACAGTTCATGGTGAGCACGGTGAAGAGAAGACATTTAGTTAATAAACTGGTTCGCCATTGGCTCAACATTTCAAACCAATTGCGAACCAAACTAGCATCAGCAAGGAATTAGATAGAAACTAATTTCAGTGAAAAAGGGGTATTCCCCTGTGGTTTCATGCAAAATGTCTGGACACAAAATGATATTTGTAATCCTTCTCTTAACTTTCCTACACCAAATGTTCTAGATCAGACGTGTCAAACTCAAGGCCCGCGGGCCAAATGTGGCCCGCCACGTCATTTTATGTGGCCCGCGAGAGCTTAAAAGGTCTGATTGTCTCAAAATAAATAAGTCAAATGCGTGCAGTGACCAAAAACTACATTTCCCACAATACATGCCGATTATGTTACCCGCGAAGTGACGGCATCCCGCCACTAGACTGCAGTGTTTCCACATGCGATTTTCCCAACAAGTGGAATTGAGAAATACAAATAATGATCCCAAAATGTCCAGGAAGAGAAAAATTGATGCAGATGGAAGGGTGTTTCAAGAAAGATGGGAAGGCGAATACATGTTTGTGCTTCAAGGAGAAAAACCGGTATGTCTTTTGTGTTATGAGGCGGTGGCGGTTGTCAAAGAGTACAATCTACGTCGTCATTTTGAGACCAAACACGGAGCTAAGTATGCCAAAATTAGCCATCAAGAAAAACAACAAATTGCCCAAGAATTAAAAGGCAAACTGCGATCGCAGCAGAATGTGTTCGCGAAAGCCACAACCAAAAACAACGCGGCAGTGAAAGCTAGCTTTGTTGTGGCTGAAGAAATCGCCCGTGCTTCAAAGTCTTTTTCAGAGGGAGCGTTTTTGAAGCAGTGCATGCTGAAGGTCTGTGAGCAGGTGTGTCCCAACCAGATACAGACTTTTAAAAATGTCAGTTTATCAAGAAACACTATCGCGGACCGAGTTAAGGAACTAGCAGGAAACCTGGCAACACAGCTGGCCGAAGAGACACGCAGCTACATAGCTTTTTCATTAGCTGTTGATGAAAGCACAGACAACACGGACACAGCGCAGCTATCTATTTTTATTAGAGGCGTGAAGTCGGACCTCTCTGTCACTGAGGAGCTGTTGGATGTGGCTGCCATGCATGGGACCACAACGGGACGGGACATTTTTGATGCGGTGGAGAAGTCCGTCAGTAAAAACGCATTGCCCTGGGAAAACTTGGTGGGATTAACTACAGACGGTGCACCTGCAATGTGTGGAAGAAAAGTGGGCTTGGTTGGACTAATGAAGGAGAAAATGCAAGAAAGTAACTGTCACACGCCTCTGATAACGTATCATTGCATTATCCATCAAGAAGCTTTGTGCGGGAAGGTACTGGGGATGGATGATATAGTGACCACGGTCACGAAGACAGTGAACTTCATTCGGGCGCGTGGCCTGAATCATCGTCAGTTCCAGCTGTTCTTGCAGGAGATGGGCTCGGAGCACGGAGACGTGCCGTACCATACAGAAGTAAGGTGGCTGAGTAGGAGCAAAGTCCTCAAACGATTTTTTGAGCTTAGGGAAGACATTGCTCTTTTCATGCAGAGTAAAGGGAAACCCTTGTCTGAACTGTCAGATCCAAACTGGCTGTGTGACTTTGCTATGTTGTGTGACATAACCGAGCATCTCGCCCAACTGAATCAGAAGCTGCAGGGACGCAAACAAGTCATCACGCAGATGTCCGACACGATCACGGCTTTCCAGCGTAAACTTGACCTATGGATGTGCCAAGTGAAACAGGACAATCTTGCCCACTTTCCTGTTTGTCAGAGCATCTCAGCCTCATGTCCCGGTACTTTCTCATGTGCTCAGTTAGCTACCAAACTGAGCCTGTTGATGAATGAGTTTGATCGGCGCTTCTCTGACTTCAGAGCACAGCACTCTGGATTTGCCATCTTTGCTAGTCCTTTCACCACCGACGTGTGCACTGCACCCCAACACCTTCAGATGGAGTTAATAGAGCTTCAAAGCGATAGTGGCCTGAGAGCAAAGTTCCAGGATGCTACAATCCAGGACTTTTACCGTCTACTGCCCCCTGCTTTCATGCCACAGCTTCGACTTCATGCTGCCCGTGTTCTGTCTATGTTTGGGAGCACCTATCTGTGCGAACAGATGTTTTCAATAATGAATCTAAACAAAAACAAGTACAGATCACGCATCACTGACGACAACCTCCACGCTGTTCTACGGATTGCTACAGCACAGGACCTAAAACCAGACATTGACACACTGGCCACGGAAAAACGGTGTCAGACATCTGGTCAGAAAACACATTGGTAAGCATTTGAAAAAACCTAATAAAATATAATAAAATGCAATTCAACCAAGAAGAAGAATAGTTAAACTATGTGCAATGTAATGATTGTGCTTGCATTTTGTTTTGTGTTTGTTATTTTCAGAACATGATCAATGGATGTGTTCAAGGACAGGCAGCATCTCCTCATCAAAAACTAACCTAAAAACTTGACCAATATAGTTGTGGACTGAGACAACCCTTATTTTGTTATTTTGAGTTTATTACATATACTACTTTATATGTGTAGCAATGTATTTAGTGTTTGCAGGTTTTATGTGTTTATGCAGACAAATGTTTACTGTAATCAAACCATCTCTCATTAGTTGGATGTATGCCCCCTGCAAGGCTGTGTGCAGCCATTTGTTTTTGTAAAATGCTACATCTGTCACACATGTTCTTAGCAGCTCACAATTGTTGGTTTTACAGTTATTTGTTATTTCAAGTTTTGAACAAAGTTAATGTCATAACTTGTGTTTGATGTTATTTTTCTTTATTCACTTGGATAGTTTGATCGTTGATTGATGGAGTAATGTGGGTTTCATAACCTGACAAATTAAAAGGATTTATGTTATAATAACAGAGCAACAAGCAAACATATTTTTGACATCTATGCAAATATATATGTAATATTTGTAACTTGAATAAGTAATACATTCAGAGTTATTTAACATTAAGGAGTAGTTACATTTATTTTACATTGCATTTAGTTACATTGCATTTAGTTACATTTATAAGTTACATCTGGCCCTTTGAGGGCAACGATTATGCTGATGTGGCCCTCGGTGAAAATGAGTTTGACACCCCTGTTCTAGATGATTTGCTATCCATCTGAATTTGTTTACTGTGGCTATTGTTGATATATCATTCATAGCCTGATTTAGATGAAAACAAATCAGATTTTTTGAGTGATACAAAGACAACATTTCCTCTAACACACTTTTGATTCTAGTACGTCTAAGGAAAGGAAAGAAGAATTTGAACTAGGATCACGGTTTCTCTCTCTCTGGCACCGGCAGGAAATGCACTAAAAAGCATGACTGAAAAAAAGGTTCAAGTGACAGTTTACCTAAAAAAGGCAAAATATAAACAGGAAGCTGTCGAAAATGAAACATAACTTTAACATAAAACAACACATTAATTAGCTACATATTATTCAATTATAACTTTAAAGTAGATTATAGGGGGTGTTCATGAAGTTTGAGAATGTAAACAGGTATCAAAGGCTAATATTGGTGCAAGTGATGATGTGTTTTTGTAGCCTGATCCAGAAATCCAATGTGATTTTTCCATTGGATTTTGGCACATCGCAGACAATTGAATCTGTGGCAAACACACGTTCATGATTCTTATTCTGATTTTGATAAGCAAGATAATCCCAACATGTTAATATCACTTGTATCATAGTTCAAGCATAAATGCCAGAATAAATGGCTAAAGTAACACTATAAAGGAACTACTTGACGGTTGCAGGATTTAACGTGAACATGGAATGGCTAAAGGAAGACTCAGGTTTGGCACAATGATATTTAGTGGTACAATTAAGTGGCAACATTTTATGTCTGCCACAAACCTATTCCATACAAAGCTCTATTGTTTGCAGGCTGAGAAAAAGTGTTTCCACCAGAGACAAAAGGAAAGACTTTTGATTCACTAAGCATACTCTTTAAAAGTTTTCTTTTCCTATTTCATTTTCCACATATTTATTCTCAAAGCGCTCTTCTCAGAACCCCAATTCAATCTTTTACAAAAGTAGCTTTGATGAAAATTCTATTTGCACAGGATACAAAGAACAGAGCCATTGCCTCAGGTTGCTACAGCAAAAGAGATAAAGGCTTTTGTCATTGTTTGTGTTGCATTCACACACACTATCTGCCACGGTGCATTTGCAGCTACATCGTCAAAGAAGTAGTACCCTATTGCTCCTGACAAAACATGTACAAGCGAGGGCTGAGCAGCTAAAGGGGGAATACTTGGGAGGCGTCACCTCAGATGTATGGCAAAAATAAAAATGATGACAGCCTAGCCTGGGAGAACCTGGCGTAGAAGAAGAGCCAGCCCTCATCAGTTTCTATTACTGCAGTTTGCTTTGCTGCGTGTTGTCACCGGTGTTTGGATCCAAGCTGCAGGGTAATTAATGGCTCGGGTTAGACAGGAGCAGACGGAAGGCCAGCCAGATGAATAAAAGGTGAGGGATTGGCTCTCTGACGCTGCGAGATCGAACTGGCTTAAACGGTTATCAGCCCACAGATATTGATATATTTCGCCTGGGCACAACTGACGTGAGATGCTTCACTGAGAGCTGCACTGGAGGGGAGGCACACAGCGAGTGTACGTCACTGGGGCTTCACGGACCACGAAACTAAAGATTTCAGAAGATTAACATATCTATATAGGCTCTGAAACAACAGACATATTTTTTTACTGCAATGAATAAATAAAGGTGTGAATGAGTCAGAATGTGCTCTAAGTTTTCCCTTCGGTTTTAAAACAAACTGAGTGACTTTCTCTTCACACATAAGTATGAACAAAATCACATTTTGTTGTCTCTATTTGCTGAGCAGAAATGCTTACTTCTGACCTCAATTTGTTCACTCTGAGATTATTTAGTTTTTTCAGGAATGTTCGGCTGTTTTTAGTAACAATACATTGTTGTGAATGATGGGATGCCAGTGAGAGTATAGTGCTTGAGGACAGAATGCTGTGGACACACGGTTGGTTATGATTAATGACAATCATACAAAAGTAGTGACTCATCTGAAACTGGTAGCTATCCCGGACTGAGCAGCCTATCAGGGAGCAGACATTTTGTATCTGACTTTGTTCAAGGTAGTTGTTTATGTATACTCATCACTTTATTTGTGTTTTTGAATTAATTTGTTCACTTAAGGATTGGTTACCACCTGCTTTAACCCTTGTATGGTGTTCAGGTCTGTGGGACCCATTTTTATTATTTATCTAAAGAAAAATGATATGAAACATTATTTTTTCAAACCCACACTCAATGGCCTTGGCTTATTTTCTGTGAAGAACATATATCAGAACACATTTTCAATGACCACCCACCGTACACCCCCCCTACACATTTATATTACATACAGGATGTTCGGGTCACTGGACCTGGGGGCTAACTAAAGTGTGGAAATTATAGGTCCTGTGTGTGTGTGTGTGTGTGTGTGTGTGTGTGTGTGTGTGTGTGTGTGTGTGTGTGTGTGTGTGTGTGTGTGTGTGTGTGTGTGTGTGTGTGTGTGTGTGTGTGTGTGTGTGTGTGTGTGTGTGTGTGTGTGTGTGTGTGTGTGTGTGTGTGTGTGTAGTGGGTTGTCCGTAGGTGTTGGGATCAGGGGGTCACAGGTTCAAACCCCACTGCAGTCAGCATGTCGTTGTGTCCCTGGGCAAGACACTTCACCCCAAATTGCTCCTGTGGGGATTGTCCACAGTATTGAGTATGTAAGTCGCTTTGGATAAAAGCGTCTAACAAGTAACATGTAATGTAATGTAATGTGTGACTTTTATGTTTCTGCCATTCCCGCACAAGGTTGCAACATTGTTGATACATTCAAGCACCGACACCTGTCTTCTCTCACATTACCGCATTGTTTCTTGCGGGAACCAATTTTTATTTTTTTCACATTCTATCCCAGCTCCAAATTTGGGGCGGGACACAATAAATAAAGCTTCGAGATGGCCACAGAAAAATGACTGTATTAGTACAGAAAAATTAAGACTTATTTTAAATATGAAATAATATGATTAAATTACATCAGCTATATATCATTTAATTGTTAACTTACTAATGTAACATTACTGGGGGCTAAAGTAACAGCTTAATCTTATTTACCTGGCCATGGTCCTCTTTATTTCATCGCCGTCGGTGATCTCCAAAAAATGGTTAAAGTAAAAAAGTATAAGTAAAGTTTCTGGATCCTTTTCATCTGAGTTAGCTTGTAAGCTAATTTGCAGCTAAGGCTACTGGAGCAGCGTAACCGAACAGCGCGTATCACGTGATGTAAATACGAAGCGCTCCGTAGGCTAGACCGTCTCATTTCGTAGGCCGCTCGGTCCAGCCTACCCGGTCTACGTGGGCTGGGTCCTCCGTGGACCGCGTAGGCTGCATACTCCAAAGGGTGCAGCCCCTGAATTGAGACACGGCCCCTATGTTTTTATGAGTAGCAACCATTAGCTACTCGCCATGGTAGACCTGAGGCCTACAAAACACGATTTGGCGTTAGCGAGGTAACTTCGAAGTAGGTTATGTTCAAGATTAGAGATCAACTCAGGTGAAAGCACTGCCTACTGACCAATCAGAGCTCAGTGCACAGAGTTTAAAGCTATTAAGTCAATACTGTATACACTATCTGCAGACATTTTATTTTGCTACTTCCATGTATGCAGTGAGTGATTTTAAGATATGAAAAAAGTTTTACAAATATGTTTTAAAGTCTGCACATGTATTATCAAACTGTTTAACTCTATACAGTATCTTTAGGGATCACAGCACATACAGTTTCAGAAAAGGGTATTAAAATGTAAGGGTTTAAATAAAATAGTCTGCCTCAGGCCAGTCACACTGACACTCTGTATTTCACTTGAATGTACTGACTGGTTGGAAATGAACAATATGATTAATTAATGAATAACAGTTATAAAGTGGACGGACCGTTTCGCTTTCTTTCTCCCTCGGTGCTGGAGTGATGGGAACAGATAAAGATTTGATAGAAAGTGTTTTACCAGGGTTGGGATTTTAATGGAACAAAAATAACTGGTTGGTCTTGACAGATTGGAAATTAAGAAACGTTTTTTCTAGATGTACATTCTGCACAAAACATTTTTCTCACTATGAATACTGTTGTTTCTTCTTTCAACATGTGGGAGGGAGTCTAGCAGGGGTATGATGGTGGGAGGCCGCAGTGGAGATGGAGAGGGAAGCAGCAGATGGTGAAGATTTCTCAGGGTTTATTTCAGGGAGAGTTCAGTCTTTACGGCTCATATACTGACTTAATTATGAGACAGGGGGAGAGTGAACCCCTGGAAGAGGGATTTAAAGAGGCATGGAAATCTTCATTAGGCCCACAAGGAGAAAGCAGCACTGAAGGAAATGAGTATAGACAGAATATAGGATTGGAGTATGAGAATAGGAAAAGCAGTTCATTTAAGTTCTTTATTTCATGAGCAGAACAATTACAAAGAAGCAGTGGTTGGCAGTGAACATCTTAGTTCTCAGGCTCCCTTCAAACATGCTCAATTAAATCTGTATAGAAAAAAGAAAAATCTAAAAGAAAAACCGAGAAAAGAATACTTAAAATAGTTCTGTGTACATACGACAGATATCAAATAAAGTATTAAACAAATATTGGATTTTTTGTATACAGTATTTGCAGAATGAATAGAGTTGATGTAAACAGAAAACTATTTTTGCATTTTTTAGCAAGTGTATATGTACACAACCACTATTTGCCAAAAAAAAAACATCAAGAAAGAGTCTGCATACAAATACCATCTCAAACCACATGGCTAGAAACCAATCCATATTTTTGAGTTTGAATATTTAACATTTCCTTGCTCTTTCATTTCAACATTTTGGAGGAATGCTTTCTGAAGCCGCTGTAACATTTCCCAGATTATAGGTATGCAGTCACGCATTTGGATTTTGTTGATGCTTGTGG